AAATCTGCACTCCAAGGCCCACAAAGTCCTGCACCTGCCACCAACTCCCACATCAAAAACTCCTGCGCCTGCCACGAAATCTGCACTCCACGAAACACTACGACTACCACTACGATACTGCTGCTATTATAGTACTGTTGCTACTCTTACTGCTACTGCTATTTGGAATATATTTTTTGAGCCAGTAAATGTTTTTTTTACTGATGCGTGTAGAATATTTTTTTATTGATATATTTTTTTTTGATCTCTCAACCCCTCTTGGCTCCGTCCCGCCTCGGACCCCTCTGGCCGCCCCGAGCGGCTCGGGGCGGCCCGGCAGGGCCGTCGGGCCGACCAAACCGATGAGAACGGCCACGACTCTCCTCCCGCCCGCCTCCCGCGTCGAATCGAAACGCTCCGAGGTCCCAGCAAGCGATCTTCAGCTGCAATCACGGCAATGGCTTGGCGTGCTTGGAGAGCCTCTTGGGCGCTCAAGACCCATGGCAGGTATAGAATGGTTCTTGGGACTGACTCACCTAGATGGATCTTCCGACGATGCATTCTTTTTTTTAAAGGCTTTTAGTGTATAAAACCAGCTGACAGGCATACATCTTGCATAGTTGGAAGATCTAGGTGCATAGACCCCCTGTCATAGATAGAAGTTCGCAAAACCCCACGAAAAATGTAGACAGGAAACCATGCCACGGTCCTCTATGTAAGGGAACCACTATGGTCTGGTTCGTTTGTGGACGTTCTTTGGGCGAGTTCCGACGTTCCGGACCCCCAGTCGACCGTCGTTCTGCGCCGCATGATGGTGTGTGTCTAGTGCGTGGGAATTGTTCCTGTACCATCACGGTCTGTCAAGCAGTTTACTGGGCTGACACCGTGCGGATGGATGACGACATAGGTAGCTGACCCAGCCCGGAGCCCTTCGCATCCTTCGCTGATGGTCAACCAACCAGTGTGGTCACTCCTTGTTCGCTAGTAGGTTGGAGGCCATTACTACCAGTAACAAGAAGCTACGTTCGGGGCTCCTGGCCTTACTAGGAGCAAGGACGCTACGACCAGGCCTCCTGGGCAAGAAGCTACGCACGTAACAAGAAGCTATTAGTTAGTTCAACTCTAACTCCATGGACTCCACGGTTCCGCCGGAATCGACGCGCCGCTCCGGTCCTTAGGTCGGCAGTGCTACAGCGATCCTAACACAGGGGAGGTCGCCATGGAAGGACCCATGTGTCTTGGCTATTCTTGCGGGGGATTCTTGTGCCCGTGTTTGGTTGAAATCTTTGCGAAGATTTCTGCTCGACAGATGACCTAATTCGTGGCTTCTGAACCTTTCTCTGGCAGGGAGAAGGCTTCAGCTATGGAGTTCTCAACTTGACCAGACAAATCGACTGGTGACTCCTTTTGATGATTTCAGCACCACCTGCACCACCGTGTCAGGGAGTTATCCCGAAAACCATGTCAGATAGATGTTTGTCCCACTGTTAAAAGTTTGTAAGACTGCGGCTTTGAGAGGTGTTTTGAGATAGTTTCTTGCTTGCTTCCTTTATCAGCCTTTACACCTGGCTGGTTTTCAGAAACTGGAGCTTCTTGAGATACCTACTACATGAAGACAATCGAACACGTGATGTGCCACCCAGGTGTGGAAGCTGCAGACCAGGCCCGCACCGCTATCGGCCAGGGCGAATCTGTGTTTTGGACACTGCAAGCCGTGCAGGATTGCTAGTTGAATGTGCAGAAGTGGTGCGAAGTGGTGTGAAAATCAAACCCCTGCAAAAGACAGAGGACTCATGGATTTCCGCAAATGTCTAAATGCTTCATGTATGGGATTTTGACCAAGAATGGCCCCATGGCCATGTGCTCATATTATCTCATATTTCTGCTCCGATCCTTGCTCGAGCCAACTCAAACCCACCATGGCGCACGGTGCAGAGCCAACTGAAACCCCACGAGCCTGAAGGGCGAATGGCCAGGCTTTGCCAAGCCGACTGGGAAACCTTTGGACCTCTGTCGGAAGTGTGGCTCCAGGACCTGACCGCGTTGACGCGACGAACGCGATGACGCGCGATGATGGCGTGGCGCGATGATGCGTACGCCGCGGGAGGTCGGGCAGGTCCGCCTTCTTTGTTTAACCAAAGCAAGCGCAAAGTGGACATGAAAAAACGAATCTTTAAAGCAAAAATAGTTTCTTTTCTCAATGGACTGAACAAAATGTGAACTCGACTCGACTGGACTCTAAGTGCACAGTTGGCAAATGACCAGTCCCCGGACCCACAAGGGGTGGGTGGTCCATGACCCACAAATACTTTCTTCGGTTCACAAAATAACAAGTCATGTAGACTTGATTCATAAAACCACCTCAATCATTTGGATTTCAATACCTTTTCATTTGGGGTTTGTGAATCAAGAGTCCACATGACGGGACGGGAAAGTGGTGGCAGCTGTCCTCCTTCCGCTGTCCCAGATCTTGACAGCTTGTGACGCTTGGTGACTCTGGAAGGAGAACTCTTCTCGGCTCGGTGAGCTTTCAAGCTATGGAAATGGCTTTGTTATGAAGGTTGGTGAACTTTGGATCGAACTAGGAGTTTTTTTTTTTTTAAATTTCTGGGGAGACGGCACGCTTGAGTGGCTCTGTGAAGCTTGATTGATAAGCGTTCATTCGCGTGTCACCATCTTCTTAGCATGTCACCTGCAGGACGGCGAACGTGGTGGGCGTCAGCCTGCAGCTTCTCACTGTGGTGGGAATGGCCTCCTTTCTGATGATCGCCTCCCGCCTGACTGTCCACGAGTTTGTGGGGTGAACTCACGCCCTTTTTGCGGGGTGACTGTGTGAATTCCGCATGCTGAACCGTTGGGTCATTCCGCGTGACTTCGAGTCAGAAAGCCCCAAGAGTGGTGGATGTTTGGAGGTCTTCCGGTCCTTCGCCCGTCGCTCGTCTTCCGGTCCTGGTTTCGCATGTTTTGGAACGGTCCCTTTTGCTTCTCCGACCTGGAGTGTTTCTCGCTCCGGGGACCTGGGTGACGAGTTTCGCTGTCACAGAGAGGCGTGAAGAAGATCACATGATCTCAGAAGACACAGAGACACACACACACACACATGGATCACACATGCTTTCGTCGTCCGAACGGAGACGCGTCCCCCTTCTGATCAATTCGGCGAGGTGAACGCCTTGTCGGACTATAGCAAGCCCAAAAACATCTTGTCCATCATCTTGAAGCAATTCTTCAATTACATCCAGCCTCTTGGAGCTATTGAGAGAATAGGATCCGGCATCCCGGAGCATGAAGCAGCTCTGTGAGTCTGAAGGGGCAAGGGCCTTGAACGGTCACCGGGACAGAATTGTGGAGTAAAACGTGACAGAGGCACGGAAACAGACATTTTGATGGATGAGCCCCTTCTTGCCCTTCTTGGAGGTCTTTGCTTGCCAATCGTAGTGATGTTTTCCACTCCAATCGCATCTTCTTTTGTTTGCACCTTAGAACACCACGCGATGCATTGCCCGAAACCCGCCTGAGGATGGCCTTTGCAGTGCTCTCCACAGGCGCGTCCCCCTGGGCCTCGCCCAGCTCACGGCACCGGCCTCGATCGTCGCCGCAGGCGGAGACCATGGGCTGTACGGAGGTCTCAGCTTGGTCCAAGCTTTCGACCTTGGGCAGGAGCGTTGAGGGCGGGTGGGTGGCGGGCGACAGTTGTTGCCCAAAGTCTTGTTTTTTCTTGCACGTTTAGGCACTGGCACAAAGAATCAAAAGGATCATGTCATAGCAGAAAAACAACATGACGCATCCGACACATTTTGCTTCTTTTGGCGCTTCCATCACATCGATCCACTCAGGCCCCTTTCGATGAACAGCCGAAAAAGCCGCATCTTGCGCCGGAAAACGCCCTTCCGCGCCATGCAGGACTACCTGGGGCTGAACTCGGCTGCCTGGGTCCCAGAGGCGAGCGCCTGCCTCATCCAGGACCTCTTTCCCAGCTGGGAGATCCACAAGGCGGGCCGGCAGGTTTCAAGACCCTTTTCCAAGCGTAATGCGAGTTTCGTGAGTTGCGCTTGGACCGGAGGTTTGGGGCACCTTTTCGGAACCCAAAAGGACGGGGGGGGTCGGAAGGGCCTTTCCCAAGACCTTCACGATGGGATTTCGAGGGCGATCGCCGGCGGAGCCCTCCGTCCGTTCGAAGGGAAGAGGGGCTTGACCCGCGCCCCGACCGCCGGGCCGGGCCGGGCGAGCCTCCGACCGAGCCTCCGGGTGGGTCGAAGAGACGGGGCCTCAGAGGATGGTGCGATGCGACCTCGGAAAGTGCGGCAGCACCTGATCGATTCTGATAAGTCTCGAAAGCAGTATCTTCTTGCTGGTGATGCGCTCATGAAGAAACGGTGTTCTTCATTCCTCCAATGCAATCTTTGGTCCTACTTGCGCAGCATTAGGCTGGGTCCATCCCATTCTTCGATGGTTTGATCCGGGCGGTGGGTCCATCGATTCGATCCATCCAAGGCCCCATGGAACGGCCATCCGGTCCCACGGAACGCCCGAAGGACCCCACCCACCGCAGGTCTACACGGTGATCGGCCTGGCGTGGTTTCCGGGCACCGCCCCGGCCTCAACGTCGGTAGACCGACGTCGGTAGACCGGCCCACTGAGGTCAAACCCAGAAGCCTCCCAGAAGCGGCACATCGACATGACCATCTCCCTTTTAAAATTCACACATTGACATTGACATTGACACATGTATCATCATCATCATCATCATCATCATCATCATCACCACCACCACCACCACCACCACCACCAGCAACACCAGCAACACCACCACCACCACCTCCTCCTCCTCATATTTTGTAGAATTACAGCCAGACTTTCAAGCACATTTGTGCTGCTGAGCTGTACTCATATGTCGTAGTCAATGAACATGAACTATCGTAGAAGGTAAGCCCCTCGACTCTGCAAGCTCAACATGTCAAGAACCAGAGAAACACAAGCATCTAGGGAACCCGCCCCCACCAGGCCTCGCATATGATCAACGTGTTCCTACGCCATCAACATCATATATATATATATACATTAATATATAACATCTTTTTCCGTGAGCCAGCCCCAGCAAGGTCATGGGTTGGACTTTGGGCGAGTGAATTCACAAGCAGCCATATTTGTGAGCTTCAACATCAAGTGGTCAACAGCAATCTGTCACCCTTGTCTAGAGGCTTTGTTACAATCCGCACCACAACACCGAGACATACATGAAACTTTGACCAATCGCTACTTGTGTATCACATCTTGAGATGTTCGCCGAGGCCCTTGTTTCAATGCTGGTCTACCTCTTTGTGAAACTCGTGAGGATGGGATCGGGGTTACCGAGACAATGCCAAACAGCTTGCGCACACTGAGCACCTTTTAAAAACACCCCCATGGTTTTCTTTGGAAGGGCAATGAGGCTTGTACTGGTCGGAATCTTCTGGGTGACAGGACTTTTGGAGGATCTTGCTGGCGACTTCTTGGCCCCTGCGTTCGGGCGACAGGCCCTCTCTTTCGCCCCGCACTGCAAGAGGCCTCCCCTTCGCCACCCCTGTGCCGCGACGCCGACAGCCGCGACCAGGAGACTTCTGAAGAAGTCGGACATCGATACGCGCCACCTGAAGACGTGGATGATGGCGGGGTTGGTGCGACGGCTTCTTCCGGGACGGCGAGTCGACGTCACCGGCTCGGTGCGACTCTTCGGTCTTCGGACGCTTGTGGATCGGAAGGTCTGGAGAGTTCAAAGAAAAGAAGCACATAGATCACAGGGAAAGAACTGCAGCGAGGAAAACAGACCCACTCTTCAGTTCTTTTCTCAAGCAGGCAGTGCTTCTCAGGCCGAGTCTTCAGTCAGGTGAACGATCCCCAGATCTGCCTCTCCTCCCCTTTCTGGGACCTTTTCCGCCCCGAAATGGCTCACCAGATCAACTTCTTCCTCTACGTCCCACGGGTGAACCGGCTCTTGATGGTGAACTTCAAATGCCAACAATACGACACCTCCAGGCTGGGAGCTTTGGAGAGCTCGGACCATGGAAGGAGTTATGAACACTTTTGGATGGTACGGCGTGAGTCGAACTCGCAGTTTTTACCGGGGAACCCGGTGTCGTCCAATGCATGCAGAAGGGCATCTATGAAAGATGTACTTCCAAATTGTGCGATTTGATCCCTGATTTTGCAGGTTGACATTGAATCCACAAGTGCTTTGCTGGAGCAATGACCATGCAGTTTGGCAGACGATCAGTTGCTTGGAGCAAGCGCTGTTGGCAGTCACTGCTCCACCCGCAGTCTCGCAAGGATGGAGCTCCGGAAAGCGTGGGAATCGGGATCATTTCGGAAAACCCCAAAGGTGGATCACAGCCCCACGTCTCCTTCCCCCCAAAAAGAAGAGCATCTCCAAAAAGGTGCGAACAGGGCGGAACAAGGCAGCCGCTCCGCTCCACCCGCCCACCCGAAAGAACGGAGTTTCGGGCCGAACTGGGAGCCGACCTCGCCGTTCGACTCTTCGAAGGGGTTCGAACCCATCGCGGGGTGCCGTTCGCGTGCATCGCGGGGTGCGAGGCTGGGGAGGCGTTCTGGTCTTCTCATGCGGTGGCCCGCTCTTCCTCTACCTGATCCTCAGGCGATCGGTTCGTTCGTTCGAACCGTCGAGCTCGACGCGGGTTCGTTCGGTGCGTGACACGGGGGTTTCCGAGTCGGCCGAGCCGAGCCGGACGGATTTGGTGCCGATGTTATTGTGCGAAGAAGAAAGGATTGTGATGAAAAGAATGGATCACCAAGCAAACCAGCTGGATATGATCTTTTTCGTTCGCCGTGCTTGGCATCGAAAAACGGTGCGTGGACCTGCTTTTTTAGCCGGCATGGAGCCCGTCCATCCGTTGTAGAACCCGTCCGTCATCCATGGAGAGCCCATGCTCGGAGAGCATGTGACAGGAGACTGCAGAAGAATCAGCTTCTGAGTAGCTGGAGATCCCTCAGAACCTATGGTGTCATGGCGAACGTTCCAAAAAGGGTACGAATCCGGGTACGAAGGGTCTTAGTCTGCTCAGCCGTCTTAGGCTTCTTAGGCTTGCAAATGCTTCTTTGATTCACCCGAGTGGGTATGAACCATGTTCTTGGTGCGATTCCACCACTTACACTTGGTCTGAAAAATCCTGGAAGCTTGCGGTTTGGAGTTCGAATCCTGCCAACGAAGTGTTAAATAGCGCCTTCTCAACCAATTCTGAAAGCTTTTGACAATTGAACGCTGTCCTGGAATAGGACCTTGTTCAGAATGGTATGTTCAAATGCAATTTTACATTGCACATTATACAATAGAGCACCAATCAATCGTCGTACTGGGGGGGCGACCAACCACTAGGTCTGTGTCAAAACTTGTGAACATCGGACACTTTTTTGCAACACCTTTGGAGACGTTATTTCTCTATTGTGTATAAATATATAACATTTTATATTTTGGCGGCACTGGTTTGCCAACGAAACATCCGAGGTTTCCTCTTCGCTGGCTTTGAGCCAGACTTCTACTATTTCGAATGCATCTACATGTTTCGAAAGATTTGCTTTGAGCTGGTGATGACGATCCCTGGCATGACCTCTGAGGATGAGGCCGGACGGGAGCGGAACGGCCGGCGTCGGTGATGGGAGGGGAAGAACTCGTTGTGTTGTTTTCTTCACAGGTCTGGGGCCGTGTGAAAACCCACGGCGCTGGGAAAGTCTGGACGTTTGTTTCGAGTTCGAGACTAACGATCAAACGCTGGGAATTGGAGGGGTTTTACTTGACACGGGCGAAACAATGCCCTCGGCCACAGAGACATTGGAACTCTTGGGAGCTGTGTACTGTAACTCCTTGAACTCCCACGCCGCTTGGTGTTTGGAAACGCCCAAGGAAGAAAGAAAGAAAGACAGAAAGAAAGAAATAAACAAAAAGAAAGACACACATCAATCTAAAGCGCAAAGCCGCAAAGAATGTTTCACCCAAGACTTGTGCCCACATTTGATATTTCCTTTCTACTTAAGAATGACAATATGTGTATATATATAATATATATGTCATATGTATGATATATACAAATATATATTTCAATACAACTTTCATGCAACCTCACCACCATTAGCTGCTACACATCTATTTAGCAATCACCATTTCTTCGATCGACCCCGACCCGATCGATGTCGGATCCGCCGGAAGGATCCGTCACTCCGACCCTCGGAACGAAAAAACGTGGGACCCCGACGCGGGGGTCGAGGCGATTCTCGGTCGCATCAACAACAGCAGCGTGGCGTTTGTGGCGTCGATCTTTTTCGCGCTGCACATGGCTTGCCAGCCCTATGACAACAGGCCGTGGTGCGGTCGCAGGGTGGGTCACGAAGCGGTCCAGACGGGAGCTTCCGGAACGGATCCTGCGGGGGGGGAAGGGAGTGCTGTTGGGCTGGGAAGGGGAGCGATCTTGCAAGTAAACATGGGGAGGCATCAACATTTGATGCTACAGAAGTGTGCGAATTGCGCTGCCGAATGCGATCCTGAAGGATTGGATCGTTGAATCATTGGGCAACCAGGGGTTTAAGCTACAGCACATACTGTACTCCAATTGTGCTTGATCTCTGACAACCAAAAGAAGCATCCAACTGCTGCAAGTCCTCCAGCCCGGTGAGGGATTATTTCATCTTGGATCGCATTGAGACGGCCTCGTTGCGAGCCATTCTGGTGACGGCTTTCTTGCAGCTTTGGTGTTTGGACACGCTGCTGGGCACTGCATTCAGACTCCTTCCGGGTCCATTCCAGCGCGACCGCCGCTACGCGACCGCGACCGCGTAGCGACGAAATCTGGGGGCTTTGTTGTCACGGCCTCAAGTCGTTTGGATGCCCAAGCATGACAAGTCAGTGCCTGCTGAGGAATGAGGCAGATGGTATCAAGCACAATGAATGGCTTCGCCAAGGGCGGAATTTAGTCGGCAGCAGCCTGAGTTGATTTGGTTTGGACAGTGACAGTGACAGTCAAGCAGTCTCTTCACTCCAACTGATGCACTCATGCATCACCAGAGGGTTGAGTTCAGAAACCTCCATGAGGGGCGACCCACCTAGGTACCGTTGTCATACTCCTCTTTCATCTCCGCTTCTACTGGCTGCCCAGCAGCTTCACGCGCCGTCGTTCACGGGCGGCCGACTTGCGGGAGGTCAACCTACCAGGGAGAAAACGGGCCAAAACTTTTTTTTTGGACCCACAGCCATGTTACTGAGTTGAAGAAGGTCTCGGTCTTCCACCTGACCGTCGTGAAACACGATGAGTGTGACGTGCCGCGAGGGAGCGAAAGGGCTCAGATGGAACTGGACATTTTTTGTAGTAGTAAGAATGCTCCTAGTAGCGATGCCAGGAGCCCCTAGTAGCGTCCTTGCTCCAAGTAGTAAGGCCAGCCCCTAGTAGCTCTTTGCGTGATGTGCACACAATCGCCACACCTTTTCCTCAGACCCAAGTGACATGCAAGAGCCCCTCTCGCTACGAACATCCTTGCGCACTTCTCCATCGCCACATATAAACACCAGAACATCTGGGCAGATTTCTTCCGCGGCCGCTCATGTTGTGCGAAGGCTCTGTGCGTGTTTGTTGCGGCGAGTGCCAAGGCTCTTTTTCTACGGCATGGCCCGGCGCCGGGTGCAGCAGTGCATGGCGGCGTGTCGAGGCGTGTCCAAGCGGAGGATGTTTGGATAGTATGACTCATATGGAATAAAAAAGATGAAGAAGAGCTAGCATGTTCGTTGAGATAGTGGAAATTCATGGGAAATAATACAACCGAAGTTGAAGTTAAAGTTGAAGACGAGGAAGAAGAAGAAGAAGGAAGAAGAAGAAGGAGAAGAAGGAGGAAGAAGAAGGAAGAAGAGGAAGAAGAAGAAGAATAACAATAATGAGAACCATAATAAGAAGAAGAATATGAAGAAGAAGAAGAATAAGAAGGAAGACGAGGAAGAAGAAGAAGAAGGAAGAAGAGGAAGAAGAAGAAGGAAGAAGAGGAAGAAGAAGAAGGAATAAGAAGAAGAATAATAAGAAGAAGAAGGAAGAAGAGGAAGAAGAAGAAGAAGAATAAGAGGAAGAGGAAGAGGAAGAGGAAGAGGAAGAAGAAGAAGAAGGAAGAAGAGGAAGAAGAAGAAGGAAGAAGAGGAAGAAGAAGAAGGAGAAGAAGAAGGAAGAAGACGAAGAAGAAGAAGAAGAAGGAAGAAGAATAAGAAGAAGAAGGAAGAAGAAGAAGAAGGAAGAAGAGGAAGAAGAAGAAGGAAGAAGAGGAGGAAGAAGAAGAAGAATAAGAAGAAGGAAGAAGAGGAAGAAGAAGAAGAAGGAAGAAGAATAAGAAGAAGAAGAAGGAGAAGAAGAAGGAAGAAGAAGACGGAAGAAGAGCAAGAAGAAGAAGAAGGAAGAAGAGGAAGAAGAAGAATAAGAAGAAGAAGAAGGAAGAAGAGGAAGAATAATAAGAAGAAGAAGATGA